GGGACTCCAGGATCATGACCTGAGCCGAAGGCAGTCGCTTAACCAACTGAGCCACTCAGGCGCCCGGGGGTTTTGCTTTTTATTGTTCGGTTAACAGGGATTATTTTAACAAGTATATAATAATAACAATTAGTTCTAAATTAGGTCTATTTCATTCATGGATAGTTCTATTTATTGATCTTATTTTGGCCCTCAATTTGCTTCCTTATTTCTGTAATTTCTCTTTTAATACCATTTTGTTGTTTTGTCATCTCTCTTTCCAATGCCTGTGTTGCTGATTTCTTATTTTCATTATTTCTAGAGCAAAAATACCTTCACGCAATTTTATCCTTTTTCTTGGATTATACCTGCTTTCATTTGGAGCTTATCCTTCTTTTGTATGAAACTTCAATTCTTTTTCTATAGGAACATGCTGGCGTAGCTGACATTTCTTTTGTTTTGTCATGACTAACATGGGTAGCTCTCGTACAGTACAAGGGAATTTTCCTTGATATACAGGTATCCCCCCGTTTTCAAAAGTTCATGTTAGGCCATGTTGCTTTTACGAAAGACCAACATTAGTAGCTGTTCTTGCTAACTGAAAGAAATATGAAGAGGCATTTTGCTTTTACAAAAAAAAAGCAAAAAGCACAAATAGCGTTCAACATTTGTGTTGTGGCAAACTGCAGAGGCAGCGCTTGCTCTGAGCGGCGAGACGGGCCCCGCCAAGCTCCTGCCCCAGAACCACATTCAGCATCGCAGCATCAAGCCACCCTAGCTTTGAACCATGTCTGTGAGCATCGCTGCTTTATCCTGATTTATTTTGTGTATCTGTTAGCAAGATGTGTCTTAGGGTGTCAGAAAAGCCTGAGAGAGGTTATTTTTGGGTCTGGGAACATTAAAAAGAATTTTGTGGTATACATTAATGGTAATTGCTTCTTTGCTTTATGCCATTTGGCTCACGAATGAGACAGCAGGGGTGACTTGTATTTTGCCTTGTGTAGCACCTGTTTGTCCCCTCTGAACTAGTTTCAAGGCCTGAATATTATACCTGGGGGAGGGAGGGAGTGCCCCTAAAGCTCAATAGAGCTTTATTGGGTTATTTGGGTTCCTTGCTGTTGACAGATTTTGTCATGTCCTATGCAAAGATACACTCCACTGAGGAATGGATTTAGTCACATGGATCTGTGCCCTAAACTGATCTTGAAGCCCCGAAAACAGCAAGCTCTAGCAATTTTTCTTGCTTCTGCTGAAATTCTGTGTGATGGTAGGTAGGTGTACTGTTTAATGTTGTCCAACGGTGCTTACTCATTCTCTCAGGCTGATTCTCTCCAGATTGGGATTATTTGGTAAAAAGTTCAGAATTTGGTTAAATTGTCTTTTCTAAATGGCCTTTAAAAAGTGGAAATGGCACCAGAATTTTTCTTTCCTTAACTTCCACTTTTTCTTTCGTTTTTAAACGAAATGTTGATACTGGTTTTATTCATCATTGCCAAATGCTGGAAACAACCCAAATGTCCTTCAACAGTTGCATGGATAAACAAACAGTCATACTGCCATACAATGGAATATCACTTAGCAATTAAAAGGAAAAAGCTATTGATAAAGACAGTAATATGGATGAATCTCAAATGCATTATGTTAAGTGAAAGTCAATCTCCACTTTTTGAAATTTATGGCATGAAGTTGCACATAATCTTTTCTGAGCAGTTGCTGCTTGGGTTTGTTTCATCAGAAACAAGCGTTCTGTGATCCAGTTTCGTTTCACATCTTTACTTGGGAGGCTCAGTCTATGCTCTTAAATAAAAGCCTTAGCTGAATATATAATAAATATTAAAACTCTGGTAGTGGTGATTGAAAATCAAGAGACATGGCTAAAATATTAAATAAATAACTGTCAAGTAAATCTCAGACCATTGGTAATGTTTATAATAAAATGATTAGCTTTTCTGTGGAGCTGTATACAGGAATTTCACACCAGAAGAAGCACCTTTTTTTTTTTTTTTTAGTGTTAATAGGCTTTTATATTTAAGATTTCATGAACCGAGTGGCCATGGACTCCTTAAGGCCTTTGTCATTTCAGTACTTAAATTAAAAATGATCTCTGAATGGCTTCAGAGGTAATTTTCTTTCTTTTTTTTTTTTTTTTACATACAATGTATTACTTGTTTCAGAGGTACAGGTCTGTGATTCATCCGTCTTACACAATTCACATGCTCACCATAGCACATACCCTTCCCAATGTAGAAGCACCAATTTTTTAATTTATATGTAAATTCCATTTTAACGTTACTTTAGACTACCTGTTTTCTTGACTGAAGATCATTTAAGCTATATTCTTATACTCACGGGCCAAGGCTGTAGATCATTCAGTCCCTTTTCTAATTTCTCAACATCTGGAAACTTTGTGGCTCCATCAGCATCTGCCATCAGGATCTTTTCTCCTCGAGAACTGAATATACCCTGTATTTAAACATTTTAATTAAAAGAAAGTTGCTTAAAATTAAGGTTAAATTCAATGACATGTCAGTTTGTTTTGCTTTACTTAAAATAGCTAATATTAGATAGTCTAATATCTAATATTAGGTGTGAAATGGCAGGAGGCCAAAGTTCCCTGAAAACACATTACATTGATAAGATCCTTCCAAACGTATCTAATGCCTATTTAATGGTTTTAAAAACTTTGTGAGGGCGCCTGGGTGGCTCAGTTGGTTAAGCGACTGCCTTCGGCTCAGGTCATGATCCTGGAGTCCCGGGATCGAGTCCCACATGTGGCTCCCTGCTCGGCGGGGAGTCTGCTTCTCCCTCCGACCCTTCCCCCTCTCATGTGCTCTCTCTCATTCTCTCTCTCTCAAATAAATAAATAAAATCTTTAAAAAAAAA